AACCAAACCGCAACTGCTAGATTTTTTAAGCTTTACTTTAATAATTTTTTTTAAGCTACAATACCAGAAACAGTGTAAGATGTCAAATGTATAAATAAAAGAGATCTACGCAAACAGTAGAACATGACTTTAGTTGAAGCCGGAAAATGTGCTTGAAATGTATTTTATCGCTGCTAGGGTAAGGGGGAGGGAGAGGTGGGGGTTTTCTGCAAAAGAGGCTGTGATGTGTAGGCTTTCTTTTACATTAGATTACATTGCATTTAGCTGACGCTTTTATCCAAAGCGACTTACAATAAGTGCGTTCGACCAACAAGATACAAACTTGAAGAAAACAGAATCATATAAGTACATCAGGTTTCATAGAGCTAAAACATTTCAAGTGCCTACTCAACTGGCTTTAGATAAGCCAGTCCTTTATTAGTATATAAGTGCTTTGTTAGTAATTCTTTGTTAGTAATTCTATCGATCGAAGTGGAGTCGAAAGAGAGTTTTCAGTCTGCGCCGGAAGATGTGTAGGCTTTCTGCTGTCCTGATTTCAATGGGGAGCTCATTCCACCATTTTGGAGCCAGGATAGCAAACTCACGTGTTTTTGCTGATTGGAACTTGGGTCCCCCTCGCAGTGCGGGTGCAGCGAGCCGCTTGGCTGATGCAGAGCGGAGTGCACGTGCTGGGGTGTACGGTTTAACCATGTCCTGGATGTAGGAAGGGTCAGATCCATTCGCAGCATGGTACGCAAGTACCATTGTCTTGAAGTGGATTCTAGCAGTTACTGGAAGCCAGTGAAGTGAGCGGAGGAGCGGTGTGGTGTGGGAAAATATTGGAAGGTTGAAGACCAGACGAGCCGCTGCATTCTGGATGAGCTGCAGAGGTCGGATGGCACATGCAGGTAGACCAGCCAGCATGTGCCATCCGACCTCTGCAGCTCATCCAGAATGACACATTACATGTTAATCTGCAACCAAACAAGGTGAAATCAGAAGTCTCCTCAGAAAGCTGAGTTGTAGATGAATTGATCACACTTCAGGCTCAGTATAGAGCAGTCATTCACCGATTGGAAGGTTGATGGTTCAATACCCAGCAAATGCAGCCAACAAGTTGCATTGTGCTTGGGCTAGATAATAAACCCCAAATTGCTTCCGATGACCAACAGGTGTGAATTGAAGTCTCTCCTGTGTAGGTGTTTTCTTGTATAGCAGCCTCTGTATGAATGTGTGTGAATGGGCTGCCTTGTATTGTAAAGCGCTTTGAGTGGTATCAAAGACTCGCCATGCACTATGTAAATGAAGTCCATTAACCAATTAAGGCAGGAATCAGAAGTACTTTAATTATCTCAGGTGAAATTGAGTTCTGTGACACTTGTTCCAATTTAGAATTAAAGATCTGGTGCTCTGTAGTGCAACGTCTCCGGGATTGGGCGATTGATCCATACCTTTTGACAGCATCCTCCTCAATGATACAACCATCAGAGAGTCCACCCCTTCTCAAACATCACTGGTCCTGTAGATCAATTTGTTGAGTCTGACCCCCTTTCCCCTCCTTCTTTCATGTGTAGACATCGAGGAAACCTCTTTCATGGTCTCTCTTCTTCCTTTTACCTTACTCTCATCATTTACCCAGGCTCCTCCAACAGTGCAACACAATTTTATTGTATTACAATATTTTATCTGTTTTATTGTGTTGCACTGTTGGAGGAACCTGGGACCTAAGATTTTCATTGACATAACTACACTGTAGCTATGTACGAATGACAATAAAAGCCTTGAATCTTGAACCATCCACCCGTCCTGTCTTCTTCTGGATTCTTCTATCTGTGAGTGTCCGGGGGTTTGTTGAGGTGGAGGGTTTGTCGTTCCTGTCCTTTCTGGCAGGCACACAGCAGCAGGCCAGATGTGGAGCCAGACCCCGCAGATTAAAGTGACACAACTGAGCAGAGCCAGGGCTGCAGTCTGGCGCCCTCTCTTCCTATTTCCCTGCCATACTCTGCTCCACATCACACTAGAATTAGGCATCAGAGAAAATGGAAATGAAAAAAAATCAGGCCTCCATCAGCTTAACTGGGCATCAGCAGCTGCTCAGCCTACATGTGTAGGGCTTTGAATACGCACTGAAAAATTGCAAGATTGTGGCTATTGAGAAGTTAGTTATGAATAATGACATATCAAAAAGTAGATCCCTTAGAAGAACAATAAGCAATCACATTTTGTTTGAATGTATCACAGCTGCTTACATGTGGCAGCATTTGACCTAAAATCCCTATTCTCACGGCTCTGTTTTGGAGAACATTGGTAATGCTGGTAATCTGGTCTCCAGGTCCTGCGGATGCTCTTTAATGCTGGATTAGACTTCGTACCATGTTTATAGGATTGAAGCTGCACCTCTATCCTATAAATCACGTTAAATATGTTGCGCACGGAAATCTCATCAAAATGGCTCGGAAGAGATTGAAAGGCAAGGCAGTACGTCTAAGCGATCTTTGATGGGATGAAGCCACACTGAATACAGAGCAGGATAAAGCTGCTACGCTGCTCTGTTTGGTTTGAAATGTATAAGCATGTGGCCAAATCCCAACCAATTATGTCACAGCAGGGTTTAAAGGGGCCCTTTTATGCTTTGGGGTTTTTCCTTTCCTGTAGTGTGTTATTTTTTTTTGTCTGCAGAGGCTAAAATCCCAGAGTTCTGCTCGCAAGGCAAGGCAAATTTATTTATATAGCACCTTTCAACACAAGGCAATTCAAGGTGCTTTACAAAAATGAAAGACATTCAGACAAAGGCATTTCAAAAAAGACATTAAAAAGAAAACATAATAAAAGAAACATTAAAAGAAAAAATACATAATAAAAAGTACATGAATAAAAGAGTTTCTCTCCTACAGGCTCCCCTCCTGGCCTGAAATACCTCTATTGGACTCCTTTGTTTAAATCCTTAACATAATGACATCACTATGTAACACTTGTACTTCTATTGGCTAGCGCTCCAACACCTTGAACGTGATAGGCTAAGGGGTGGGACATCTTAAAGCGGTTAACCAAACACGCTCAATAATCCCTAAATAATCCCCAATTTTTTTAAGTGTAAAAGTAGTGTATTTTTTATGTTACTGCAAGGGAATGGAGTTACCTTTTAATTAGTATCCTGATTACGTCAACCTGTTAATCTGTTTACCCCAAGCCTGTATACATTTGTATTTCAACTCGGCACTGTTTTATACACTGTTTAATAAGAATAAAAGTGAGAAGTTGGTAATAATAAGACTTTTCTCTTCTCAGGAGCTGGTCAGCCTATCGGAGGGCAGTACAGTGGATCTGAGGAAGCCTGAAGAAGAGATGGACAACATATCAGAGCTGGCTGAGGAGAACATGGAGCCGGAGGAGTGCTTCCCACAATGTGAGAATTTATAGTGTAAAACGATGCTCATAAAGTACAGCCAAAGTCAAGTCAAAGTCAACTTTTTGTCAATCTTTCAGTTTGTGTACAGACAGAGAGATCAAAATACTTAAGCTTTTGCAAGTTATTTGAATAGCGTTATTTCTTCATGTGGTTTCACCTGTGCCGATTTGTTTTTCCTCCTGCTCAGTCTGCATCAGGCACTGTCAATGCTGTGAGGTGGATACGAGCCGCGGGCTGGGCCAGGCCTGGTGGAGGCTGAGGAAGACCTGCTACCAGATTGTGGAACACAGCTGGTTTGAGACCTTCATCATCTTCATGATCCTGCTCAGCAGTGGGGCTCTTGTACGTCATAGTCCATTTATTCCTCAATCATTACAACACTTTGAAATACATTTAAACAATTTTTTTAATGGCGTCAAATTAAAAGACTCCTGGTTGATCTTTGTTATCGTTTGTTCATTGATATATTTATGTCCTCAAGGTTAGAAGGGTGACTTCAGAATTGTATTCCACTACAATTACTAGATACCTGAAATATTATCAGTAACCTAGTAATCTGGGTCAAAACATAAAAGTAATGCAATCTGATTACTTTCCTTTACTTTTGGATTGCCCCAATATCAAATGCAATGTTAATAAATACTAGTCTTTTTGTTTTTTGGTAACATTGTAATCCTGCTTGTAATCCCTGTTGTTTATAAATGTAACAGTAATCGTAATACATCTATATATTTTTTATGTGTAACTGTAAGAGAATACAGTTAACTTATTTTTGTATTCTGATTATGTAATCCCGGAAACAGTACTCCTTTCCCAACTTGCCAATGGGACTGTAAACCATGTCCTGGGAACAGAAGAGGTCACAGCCGTATATGCACTGGCCACATGTTAGACCTTGTTACTGTATGACCGATGTTCCCAGAGGATTAATCTTTGTCAGACCGATAGCTGGTGGCCGAAGATTGCCCCCATAGCATTAAAGCTTAACGGCTGCAGTTTAATATAAACCTTCCCACAGTGACTGCCAGCAGCATGTTTTCTCTCAGTGGTTTAAAAACCGTAGTGTAAAATAATGAAATCTAAAAACTGATTTCACTCTAATAATGGATGAAACTAAATGACTTTCTCTCACAGGCATTTGAAGACATCTACATTGAGAAGAGGAAAGTCGTGAAGGTGGTGCTGGAGTACGCCGACAAGGTCTTCTCCTACATCTTTGTGCTGGAGATGTTCCTCAAATGGATCGCATACGGCTTCAAGAAGTATTTCACCAACTACTGGTGCTGGCTCGACTTTCTCATCGTGGATGTAAGGAACTTTTTCTGCTTGTTTTCGTTACACTACATGAAAGAAAGGTAAACATTTTGTGAATTGAGGTTGAAGTGTCTCCAATGAATGTTGCTTCTTCTATTTTGTGGTATTTACAATGTGGTGAGTGTCACATTATTTACGGGAAAGCACTTGACAATCCATACATACAGATGGCATCATTTGTGACTGAAATTGTGCTTCCCCCAACAACTGTCTTATGACCTTGGTCAAACTCAGAAAACATATAGATAAATCCCACACTTAGTAGTTACTATGTACAATTTTGGATTAGATTTTACAAGAAAGATTTAAAAGTGCTGTTGGGTAAAATGGAGGTGGCGTGTAGTGCCCAAGGCTTGCAGCCCCTTGACTTCCTCTGATTTCACCTGCTGTTATACAGATTGCCACAGACCGCTCTATTGTTAGGGTAAGTTATAGTTAGCAGGTCCCAGGTGAGTATGAGCTCCGGGATTGGAGACTTGCATCTGCCTCACAAATGCTTCTGTGTTTCTTCACTCGTAAGTGCTTTCTGTTTTGATATCAAAAGCCATCGTCAAGTTTACAAAACTTCCAAAAAAAACAGTTCTTCAAATCGGTTACTTCAGGACCTTGGCTTTAATATCAAAAACAAATGTAGCGCCATTTATTCTTAAGGTTTATCTACAGAAGATGTACTTGAAGAGAAAATAAACCTATAAAACGTATCTTAAACATTTTCAGTTCATTTAGAAATGCAGCGGTTGAGCTTATGTCTAAACTTTTGTTTGGACCAAAACGATGTGGTTTTGCCTGTTTAGAAGAAAATATTGTTGATCATTGCAACTACCTACCTTTTGTTTCTCTAAAACGACCACCTTACTTATTTTCTGTATTTAATATTTTTCCGTTTTTTCTGGAGCCAAAGCCTTCTCTTGTCCTGAGAAAACATTTTGAGTATCTTCTTTAGATATATTGGACAAACACATGTGTAAATAGACTTTTATAAAGAAATTCAGAACATTGGGACCTTATTAGTCCTAAACTATTTTTAATGAACTTATTGGATGAATTGGATGAAAATTGGGTAAGGAAATTTGGCGAAGATAGATATAAATTCTTTATAAAACTCACTCTATTTGATATATATTCATATTTAAATATGTATATATAGTGGAGTATGCATTCATGGACACTATTCGTCTATATATGCATACTTGTCTGTGTTTTGTCATCAACAGTCATGACATTAGATTTGTTTCATTTATTTCACGCCATTTTCATTCATAGCTTTCATCCAAGGGTCATTCGACAGCGGAATACCATTTAGTTTTGTCCGTTTTGGATGTAGAATAGAGTGGAAGTCTAAATTTGCTAAAAGATTACACAGCAAAAACAAAAAAATCTAAGCCTGAAAATTCAATTTGTTGTGTTCCTAACTGTGGAATGTCCCAAAATACACAACAACTCTAAAAAAGTAGGGGTAAAACGGCTCTTTAAATGTTTTCTACTTGTCTTTTATGGACTTTTGTTATATAACTTTTCTTCAAAATGATATAGAATTGTTTAAAAAATGATATACAGTTATCAAACAATGTGTTGCTAAAACTTTGTGTGATATTGCTTTATTTTTATGTTTGTTTTTTTCTGTTCTTCTTCTTGCACTATAGAAAGACATATTACTACTTTACCCCAGGTTTAAAGGTGTAAAAACTGTCACACGTAATTAATACTGTATTGATTTTCACTGTTAACACTTCTTTTTGTGCTCCATTTAGGTGTCCTTGATAAGCCTGGTAGCAAATTCATTGGGATATTCTGACTTTACTGCGATCAAGTCCCTGAGGACTCTACGCGCTTTGAGACCTCTCAGAGCTCTGTCTAGATTCGAGGGCATGAGGGTGAGAAATATTTTTTCTGAACACCAATGATTTCACAAATCACTTTAACAGCAGTGTTTCTGTTGACAAGTACCTTTCTGATAAATTCCAGGATCATTACGTCTATCATGTAATTTATATTTTCAATGTAGTTCATTGTTCTGTCCGACAACGGGATAATCTCCAGGTTATAGAAAGATGAACCTTCCAATGACAACAAGTCTAAGATATTGTTGCACTGTAGTGATGGCGAAGTTAGTCAGTAAATCGGTCAGTTGGTCTCCACCTCTCCACCGCACCATCTCTCCACCACTTTTGCTCAGAGTGAAATATTTAAACCTGGGTGCAACATTTGTACCTTTTACTAGCCAAATGTTGGTAAAATATGCTAGTAGATTCAAATTACTCAGCAGCCAAAAAAAAGGTAATCTAATGAGCGGTCCAGTTAGTCCAGTGGACAAAAACGTTTTTTGGCACCCTAATTTCAACCATTCAATGGATATTCACATGGTGTTTACAACCAATTACCAAATGTTAACAGGTTTAACTAAGATAGTGAGACCGGTTAACATTACGTCTGCTAACATCCGCCTGTTAGCATTGTTGTCATTGTGACCATGCTGTCGTTAGCATCTAGCTCAAAGCATGGCTAGCTTCATCAGCCCAGAGACACTGTAGGCATTTTATGTCCTGTCATAAATATGAAAATACGATTATGGCTCAGTTGCAAATCATACTGGCATGTCTTCATTAGATGTACCTTTTAAAAATAATGGAGATTTATTTAGGAAGTGTGACACATGAGTTACATTTAAAGTTGAAGTCGCATAACACAAACATAACTGATGTTTAAATTAGCCTAAATGTAATGAATGCTTGATTGTTTAAAATGCAAAATTGCCTACCTTAATTATAAGTCCACTCTACAAACAGATCATGATCTAAATAAGAAATAGCTTTATAATCAGACTCGAAATGCTCAAATATTTAAAGAAGCGGGCAGTGATTTGTAGATCTGAAATCTGTTCATCGAGAACCTCAGTGCTGTGAGACTAATCTGTATTTACCTGTTGCTCTTCAGGTTGTCGTGAATGCTCTAATAGGAGCCATCCCTTCCATTATGAACGTGCTGCTCGTGTGTCTCATCTTCTGGCTCATCTTCAGCATCATGGGGGTCAACCTGTTCGCTGGCAAGTTCGGGAAGTGCGTGAACAGAACTGGTTTCATTCACAATGTCTCTTTGGTCAACAACAAGTCAGAGTGCCTCTCTATGAACGACACCCAGTTCTACTGGACAAAAGTGAAGGTCAACTTCGACAACGTGGGACTTGGCTACCTTTCCCTTCTGCAAGTGGTGAGTTTTTATCTGCTGCACTGTGTGGGATTTTGGCAAATATGCCAAGCACGCTTGGATTTAAGGTATTGTGCAGGGCTGAACCCAAATCACAATTGTATTAATCGGATTTGGTTGCTCAATACGAAAATATGACTTTCCGTTAAAATATATATCAATCGAAACAACCTAAACAAAAAGACAACAGCTTGACTTATTCGACCTGCTCGACTTTTCTTAAAGTCACGCCATTACTTTTTGTTTTAGTTCTTTGTGTGAATTACATAATATTTGTATAGGGGTCAAGTCACTGGTTATCAACAGATGTTGCGCCTCAATCGGCTTTCCGAGAGCAGCCCTAGAATCATGCCTTTCTTGTGTTTGCAATGCAGTACCCATACAGCAATGTGACATTTTGTATTGTTTTAAAGGCTACATTCAAAGGATGGATGGAAATAATGCACGCAGCTGTTGATTCAAGAGGAGTAAGTATTTCTATCTGCATACATACAGAGCCTTCATCATGAACATGTCGAAGTGATCAGCTGACTTATACAAATGTTTGGTTTTAGGTGGAGGAACAACCCATCAGAGAAATCAACCTCTACATGTACCTTTACTTTGTCATCTTCATCATATTCGGCTCCTTCTTCACCCTCAATCTCTTCATCGGTGTCATTATTGACAACTTCAATCAGCAGAAAAGAAAGATGAGTATTGGCAATACTGGCCTCCATCACTTTGATATTTGCAAGTAATTCTTTTTATGTACTAGATGCAGTTTTACTCACCAAAAATTGCACAGATTTAGATATTTTACATATTCCTTACATATGTTTCTTACCGGGCAAAACCACAAAACTTTTTTCTGCCACAGGCACATTTTAACTGACCTGGTTTAGAGGGAAATAGTATCTTCTGTTTATACTTTAGCTAAACTGTACTTGTCCCATTTTTTTGTAAAAATAATGTTTTTTTTGTTGTTGTTGCTTGTACTTAGGTGGACAGGATATCTTCATGACTGAAGAACAGAAGAAGTACTACAATGCTATGAAGAAATTAGGATCCAAAAAACCCCAAAAGCCAATACCAAGGCCTACGGTAAAATAATATAACTAATCTCAAATGTAACACATTTTTGTGATCAATTTTTTATTGTCTTTTTTTTTTTTTTGCCCTCACAGAGGGACTTATATACACAGATACAAATTATATAGACAATAATACAAAAAGAAAAGAAAGACAAAGAACAAAATATAGGGAATCCCTTTCCCATGCCACCCCGTCCCTCCCCCTTCCCACCCATCTTGCCATTTCACAGAAAATCCTACCTGATGTTTGTTAGCAATCGTCTGAGTTCATCTATCTATTATATTATATATATTATTTATATTATAGCATAACAATTCATCCACATCAAAAACATTCATACCTTTTTTTCACACATTCTTGATACTAATAATTGCCATTTATATTTCCCAATCCTAGAACATTCTCCAAGCCTTCTTCTTCGATCTTGTGTCAAAGCAAGCCTTCGACATCATGATCATGATGCTCATCATCATCAACATGGTGACCATGATGGTGGAAACCGACGAGCAGTCAGAGCGCATGGAGTCCATTCTCAACAAGATCAACCTGGCCTTCATCGTGATCTTCACCACTGAATGCCTGATCAAGATCTTTGCCCTCCGCTGTTATTTCTTCACAGTTGCATGGAACATCTTTGACTTTGTGGTGATAATTCTCTCCATTGTGGGTAAGTTGAGATGCAAAAAAAACAAATGCCATTTACTGTTAGCCTCCGACAAGGGTGTTCGATTTTTCAGTACCATTGGTTTATCTGCTGTTTCTTAGCACCATAACTTTTAACATTGTCACATTTGCATTTTTTGCTATTTTCTCTTGGACTACTGTACATGCTTCAATGACAGATTTCTGGCAGATGTATCCACGTCAAGGTGCAGAATAAAAATCTCTAAACACTTATATAATTCAAATGCATTATGGACAAAGGCTTTGTAGTTAATTCTCTGTTAATTTATTTTCGTTCTTTATAATAATTGCTGTTTTCTCAGCTTTAACTGTGGCATACAATATACACTTCTGGCTGTGAGGAAGTCTTAAAGCTCGACTAACTTTTTTTCTTCTTTTTTTTACCATTGCAACAGTGGAACAATCTGCTAATATAAATACTTCGATAGTATCCCATTATAAAGTTGGTATTGCTAAGATTTTAGCAAACAGTTGGAAATGTGTGCACCCACTAGGCATTGGCATTTACTTACTGTTATTTTTATGACCACCTGAAGAATATAATTCCTGAATTTACTCTACTTTTAGCTCTGTTTTGGTCTCTACCGACTCTCAAGGAAGATATATGTCTACTTAATGTTCCACTATGTTTATTAACTAGAAGCATACTTTGTCTGCCATTTGGTGCTAAACAGGTTTATTTGAAATGTGCCTCCTCCTATGGCTGGAACCAAGGTTTGTAAGAGTGTTAAATGAACCAAAACAGTGAATTTTGTCATTACCAGTGACCCCTTGACACAACTCATTCCTAAACGATCACTGTACATGAAAATATTGATAAGTGCAGCTTAAAGTAGAAGTTCATCATTGTGCAATGAGATCAAACTACATTTTTCTTGTCTTTCTCTCTTCCTTTAGGGATTGTTCTCGCAGACATCATTGAGAAGTACTTTGTATCTCCAACCCTGTTTCGGGTCATCAGACTGGCAAGGATAGGACGTGTACTTCGACTTATACGTGCAGCCAAAGGAATAAGGACTCTACTGTTTGCCTTAATGATGTCCATGCCAGCACTGTTCAACATTGGCCTCCTGCTCTTCCTCGTAATGTTCATTTATGCTATCTTTGGTATGGCGAACTTTGCCTACGTGAAAAAACAAGATGGGATTGATGACATGTTTAACTTTGAGACCTTTGGGAATAGTATGATCTGCCTTTTTCAGATCAGTACCTCGGCAGGCTGGGATAACCTATTGAGTCCTATAATGGCCAGCTACTCAGAGGAGTGCGACCTTCACTTTGTCAATACTGGCACTAACACCCGGGGAAACTGTGGCAGCCCCTCAATGGGCATCGCTTTCTTTGTCAGTTACATAATCATTTCTTTTCTCATTGTGGTAAATATGTACATAGCTATCATTCTGGAGAACTTCAGTGTTGCCACAGAGGAGAGTACGGAGCCACTGAGTGAGGATGATTTTGAAATGTTTTATGAGGTTTGGGAGAAGTTTGATTCTGAGGCCACGCAGTTCATTGAGTTCTCCATGCTGTCAATCTTCGCTGACAATTTGTCGGAGCCACTGCGCATAGCCAAGCCCAACAGAATCAAGCTGATCTCCATGGACCTTCCCATGGTCAGCGGGGATCGGATCCACTGCCTGGACATCCTGTTTGCCTTCACAAAGCGTGTCCTGGGAGAGTCTGGTGAGATGGACGCCCTCAAGCAGCAAATGGAAGAGAAGTTCATGGTCACCAACCCATCTAAGATTTCCCACGAGCCCATCACTTCCACACTGCGTCGCAAACTGGAAGATGTGTCTGCGATCATCATCCAAAGATGTTACAGGAGGCATCTGGTGCGCCGGCAGATGAAGCAGGCATCCTACCTCTACAGACAAATGAACTATGAGACTGAAGTGGATGTGGAGAATGCACCAGCAACAGTGGGGCTGATAGCCTCCATGATGCAGCACTATGGAATCATTGACATTGTACAGACAACAGAGGACACTTTACTGTCCTCACCACCATCTTATGACAGCGTGACCCTGGCAGCCAGTGACCTCTCTGAGGTCGTCAGATCAATATCCAGAGACTCTGAACTTGGGGAGCCTGGTGAAAACTACGAGGAAACTTTCCTTTGAGAATCGATTATGTGGAGAGTGTTTGTGTGGTTTTGTCTGTTTTGTTTACAGCAGAGAATATAGCTCAGATAACTCATGGTCAAAGAGAAGAAACTTTTTTATATAATATATTTATATATGCAATATTTTTAAGTAACTCAGTCTCTGTTGAAATTAAACAATGCAGAATTACATTTTGTAACACAGTAAAAAACTTCTCAACAGAGTTGAACTTTTCCTCAAGCCATCTTAAATGTTTACATTTGGCATATCATTTATAACATAGCATACATTCACTCTCAACACCACGTCTGCAGTTTTAACATATCAGTAAACACTGTACCTCATTCAGGAGAAACACTAAAAACACAGAGATGACCAAGACAACAGAAATGAACATGGACATACCCAAGCCTGCAAAACAATAGAAAAAAACAAAGAGAATCAGAGTTGTGAAAAAATCCTCTAAATAAATTATTTTTATAGTCTGAAGAACTAAAGTACCAATCAAACAAAACTAACCAACAAAATGGAGCTAACGAACCAAAGTAGTTAAGGAACTAAAGTAGCTAACAAATTGAACTATATAACAAACTAAAGTAGCTCACAATCAACTTCAAGAGCTACCAAACTGAAAGAGCTAACAAACTAAAGTAGCTAACAAATTAAAGTAGCCGAGAAACTAAAGTAGCTAAAAAACTGAAGTAGCTAACAAACTGAAGTAGCTAAAAAACTGAAGTAGCTAAAAAACTAAAGTAGCTGAGAAACTAAAGTGGCTAAGGAACTGAAGTAGCTAACAAATTAAACTATCTAACAGACTGAAGTGCCTAATAAACGTAGGTGGCTCACAGTCTAGTACAAGAACTACCAAACTAAAATAGCTTACCAAACAAAGTAGCTAACAAATTAAAGTAGCTGAGAAACCGCAAGAAATACCTAACTAAAGTAGCTAACCAATTAAAATAGCTAACACAAAACAATTTCAGGTAAAAACAAACAATTTTGTAGGAAAAAAATATATTTGAACACATACTGTATCCATGCAACTCATAAACCAACAGTAGATTAAGAATTTAGAACACAATTCCTCCTAAACACATTGACATAAGTGGATTCCCATTAGGATTGTAGCCGTTATTGAGCTCTTATTCAGCAGCAATATGATTTGAACCAAAGCTAACATTTACTCATAACATTTTTCAATTAACATTTAAATAATTCAAAATTCACAAAACAACTATTGTAAGCCACATTAATGATTCAGATTTAAATGCTAGTGTTTGGGATTTCTTAATTTATTTAAGAAACCACTTTGATTGAATTAAGATGCTTGGTACTGTATGGTTAAAATAGCATCAAGTGTATTCAATTCAACTTCAAATTACAAAAAGCAGAACTTCAGAAAATTGTATTAAACTTAAATGTTTTTTGTGTGAAAAACTAAATATTTATTAATTTCTCAAGTATAACGCATTACAAGATGAACTTGTATCACTTACAAAGAAGAACTGTGTGTACGAATAATCCCTGAATTATGTGCCTGATTTTGATGTTGTTCGCACACTTCACTGATTCTCTTTAGGCCATCTAATTTGATCTAATGGATGTGGATTGGAAGAGCATGAATGGACTGAAAGCTAATTTTGTAATTAACTATGTAGAATACTTTGAGGCTGTGTAATGTATGCAAAGCTGATTTTTAGCTATTTTTTGTAACGTATTTATATTCAAAGACCATTTCAGTGACTCTCATGACAGCCATAACAAGATATGATCAAATTATATAGTTAAACTGTATTCATATTCATTTTTACATAAAATACTTTCCTTGAGAACCTGATTGTCTGTATTGCATTTAGGTTGTTCGTTTCATGGATTGTTTTATGAAATGTTAATAAAACTCTTTTCCATATTTTTGGTCAAATTTGGTTTTTCCAACTCTCACTATAGTCCACATTGTTTGAAGACGTGTTTTGGAATATTGAGAAAATGTTTGCAAGGTTTATTACGTGTTAACACTTACACTGCCATAAGCGTATTAACATTGGTGTACCAGAATCCAACATTCAAAACTGTGCAAGTACGCAGTGTCCCTCCATTTTCACATGAGGAAACAGTTAGCTGAATTGACCTCATTACAAGGCAGGCGCTGTTAAATCTCGCTCTCTGAGCCCATTTGTATAAAAAAACAGAACAGATGTGCAAAAACCTCTGTATCTCCATGGCTGTCTGTCTCTTTGAATGCATCACTCTTTAAAGCATGCATTTGTCTATAATGCATATTTGAATACAGTACAACAACATAGCTTAGAGCTGTGATGATTGATATGTAAGCTAGAAGAGGCTAACACACAAATAAATACCACGCAGTAATGCTGCTGCATGATAAGCTACATAGTCCTGGAAAATTATAATAAATAGTGCCCAGTCGTAAAAAAGAGAATAAAACATAAAAATATTTGGAATATTTAAGGAATGTGTGTGTATTTAGCTTCTCTTAAAATGTCCTCTTCAAAACATCAGTGACTTGTAATATTATATGGTTTGTCGTGTTCATAGATTTCAGTACAGAATTTAAGTTAATAGTTGAGCACTCCCACATTTTCAGTTTGGAAAAAAATCATCAAGGGTGCCAATTTGGATTTAGCCCCAAAGAGATTTCCTCTCTCTGGTTGTCGGGGTGGTCAAATCCAACTCTGACCAGCTGGGATAGAGGGATAATCTGTGTGTAAAAAAAATCACTTGTTTTAATTACACACTCACAGACACACAAATGCACGCACTCGTTCTCTTTCGCTCTCTCTCTCTTTCATACACAAACACACAAATGCACATACATATATACAGTACACGTGTGGAAATACATGCATTAACACAACTATGCAAACACACACTATACTTCCCCATCTATCCTCATAATAGACAGCTGCTTACTTTGAATATCATTTGGATTTGTGCATGAAATGCCAGAAAAATGTGACTTGACTGAATGTGACTTGGTAATTGATCTGATTTTTAAGCGTTTGGACATGTGGCGGAGATTAAAGCTTCATCAGAGAGAGCAAACATTTTTAAAAAGATTAAAAAGGCACTATGTCTAATTACAAAATGCAGCAGTGAAACACAGCAATGTCAACGTAATGCATTACAAATAGTCTACATATTAAGTAGACATGCTAAACTCTAATAAAAAAGAAATTTCATGTATTGCATTATCTGTAGCAAATTTAAATAACATTTAGATAAAGAGGATCATGAGTCACATTGTGTCGCGTCATCATCAAAGAGATAAATGGGAATTTAATTCTTTATTTCTACTAACCATGACAAACTCTCTTTAAATCGACAGAAGACTTAAATATATCAAATATGCACTACTGTTATTACTTGAAGACTTTATTAGTAAGAAAAGGGAGAGGTTTTTGTGCAAGGGTATTAATGTAAAACATAAAGGAAATACATACAAAATCAGGAATTATTTTTATAAAAATACAAATTTTAAACGTGACAATAAATCATAATTTTTACTAATTTGTTCACAATTTTGGCCATAATCTGCATGTGTAGAGCACAATGCGTACTTTCACTCAAATAAGCACTCAACACCCAAATGTACAGATAAATATACTGAGGATGACAAAAACTGACAATCCAGTAATTGGGACACTCTATTTAAGGTTTAATAAAATTCTACTTCAACTCAGCATTTCGTCTGCCCTGGATGTTAGCTGTAAGCTTCCTTGGATAAATGTTTAAACCCTATGCTGCTGGGTGGCTGTTGGTGGTAAGTACACATCGAGGTTGGCTTCACAAAAAGGGCTGAGAATCTGAGTAGAGGAAATAGCCTTTAGGATCCTTCTGTCACACAATAGGCACTGCAGGGATTTACTTGGTGTCATGGGCCTTAACACTGTCCAGATGGTCTGATGAAGCACTATCTAATTACTTTTCCAACGTTCCCTTTATTTCTGATGAATACTAACCTTTAGAAAGACTGCACTGCCACCACCAGGGGATTGTTGCACCTACAGTTACAGAATTTAATGGCAAAAATAAGCTTTAAAGTTTACTTTCAAAACAGATAAATATTCAATGCTTAGTTAATTTAAAAAAAGGAGGTACACAAACATTTGTGTATCTTTGCTGATTTACTAGGTGTTTAAGATTTTCTGAGCTCACAAAGTGAAAAAATAATCCTCATTCTTTTGAGGTCATACATGAAAAAAATAGTCAAGCAACCAACAGGAAAATACACACAGCCAACCAGAAAGAAACATGTACTTCTCCATTGTAGAAAGAAAATCATGAAGACTCGCCTTCCAATTAGGGAGGACAATCCCAATTACTTTTCAATGTAATTTTTTTTTGGGGGGGGAATGGCAGGCAAAAAATACTGGGACATTTGTATCATCATCATTGTTTTAATTGTTACCTACACTGTAGAAAAATAGACAGTATGGCATTGCCGATTTTTCTACACTGCCGCCCAGTAGGTGGCCGTAAAACGCCTTTAAACTGGTTTTCTAAACACCAACGAAGAAGAAGGAAGTGCAAACATCGAGTTGCTGGATTAGCTGTTAGAAACTATTTTTCACAGAAAGCCTCAAAGGAAAGAATATTTTCTAAATTAGAAGACATTCCTCTGCATCAATTCAACTTTTGTAACTCTTAAAAGGGAAACAAATGGGTAAGATTATGGGTTTTGTTGGGTTTATGTAGGATTGTTTTGGTGTTGTTAGCTTGTCTGCTAACAGCAACTTCCTAGATTTACTAAACTAATAACATTATTTTTTGTGTTTTAGACACAACGCGAAAGGAAGAAGCTATTGCAGTTTACATTATATTTAATGTATTTGGTGCATGTATCCAGCAGAGGAATTACGTTTCTGAGAAATAGATTTTTGTTTGTTTTTGGCCTTAGTTAATGTTTCACAAATGATAAAAAAAAAACGTTGGTTGGCTGCCGATAACACAACAATGGATAAACCAAAGGAAAAAGAAAAATAATTGCACCTTTCAGGCTATAATTGGTTCAGCTTCTTCAAGTAAAGTCAAACTGAGGTTGAAGTGTTTTTTTTACTTGTTGATGTGTTTAAAAGTTAGATTACCCTATATGAACTGTCTTATTACAGAAGCAGGTGTTTTCATCACTTTTGCTCTCAGTACATCCATTTACTAACAATAGAGAGACTGTACATTAGTTTGGATGCTTTATATTTCTGGTGTGAAAGCATATTTAAATGCAATAATGCTTCAGTCCCCTCTCCCCCTTGCAGAGGGCCCCCTGCCCCTGTCCTCGCTCAGGCTCCTGGTTCCACCACTGAGGATGATGACGGCTGTGATGTGGAAGGTGGTTCGTCTGAGAGACATAATGCATTATGGGAAAGTGGAGGAGTTTGTTTCCTTGGTGACTGAAGCCATCCCTGACATCTCTACAGAGAGACAGATGAGACTGCTCACCCTGGGCCTAAGATCAAAGGCAAGTGATTCACATGGACTATACTTTTTTTTATTGAAATATAGTTGTTTTTTGCAGATCTAAGCTGGAAAAAGTTACACTTCAGAAATGATCATGTTAAACCTTTTTGTATTGTTGGTGTTTGTCTGATTGCTGTTTTTGGTTACATACATTTTTGGAAAAGTATTTTAGTCTTTATAATTGTTCTTTAGATAAGATTCCGTTTTCATTTCATGACTTTAAGTAATGCAGTTCATCTTTTCTAGAGGCTGCATCTAACTAACTACTTTGTTTATCAATAAAACTAGAACAAATCTAGATATTTTGTTTAATATAATAATTATACATTTTATATATCAAGTGCTTTTATAAAGATCTCGAAGCCTCTTTACAGAGGTAAAAAAAAAAAGATGAGATAGAAATAGAGAAAAAAAAAAGGAAATCTCTACATTTAAGCATTTATTTTCTGTTCTTTTTGCATGAAAATGTACTTATTTACTTCATTCACTTACTTCATTTCATTTATTCTCTTCAGATAATAAAAGCTTAATGGAAATTCTTTACGTCTTGCATCTTTTCTTAATTGTATTATTTCTTTATTGTTGTTTGTAGCTACAATTAGGGGATTCTGGATGTCCCCTAATTGTTAATAACTCCTGTTAACATCTTTCACCAGATGATGTTACAGATATTAAGTTCTGAAAAGCCAGAGGACTTCACAGATGTTAAAACACGTTTGGACAGCCTGATGCCATCTACCTCAAAACTGGTGCGTGATTTTTTAAATCACCGACATTCAAATGTTGAATATATAAGAATGTTCTGCTAATTCTATATGTGTTTATATTACTTTAAAGATGCATCCAGGAAATGAAGCGATGGAATCCAACTTTGTCAAGTTTATTCAGAGACTCGTGGACGACCCAAAAGGGAGAGAGCACTTCCTCAAGGTGTGATTCTGCTTTCACCCTTCGTTAGTTTTGACATGAAAAGTAGCAATTTGCTTGAATGGTCAAATAGTATCTTGAGGTTTTATATCCATGCTTATGGTTTAAATGTTCCTCTTCACAGAATGTGTTTCCGGTGGAGTATGGGTCTGACTTTGACACAGCTCTGGAGACTGTGTTTTGTGAGTTCTTCACCAGACTGGATAAGTTGCTGCTTATACCAGACTTTAAGCAGGTAAATAAAATAACGTACACCATAAAATTGCACTTAATAAAATAATTTTCAGGTTTTGGTTGTCTGGTTCAAGCCTGTTAAAATAATACTTATTTTTTCATTGATAAAGACAGCAATGTTGATTGGTGACACACCCTCTGCGCTGGAACAGTCCATGCAGTGTGTATCCAAAGCCGATGACCTCAAAGTACTGCTTAGAAGCAAGGCCCATCTTAGTCAAATGTACACAATGGATACCAGTGGTAAGTCAGTGTGCCCGGGATACAACCATTTTTAATGTACAAAATAGTGCCTCAAACAAACTGTCAATTAACTAAAGATCAATCCATAAGACATTTCTCAAGCACAAACAAGTGATCATTTAGATTAATGATTATTCCGTGGATTCTTGTCAAGATTAATGATTCATCGTTTTCTCTAGAAAATGTCTAAACATGTATAGATATAGATATTTACTTTAAAGGAATGCTTTGGGGCGTTTCCCTTTCCTGTAGTGTGTTATATAGGTTTTTGTGACCCCCCCCCTGCCTGAAACGCCTCCATCTGACTCCTTTGTTTACTTTTGTAACATAGTGATATCACTATGTCACCCTTGCGCTTCTATTGGCTAGCGCCCCAACATTGTACACGATAGGCTAAGGGGCGGGACATCTCTAAGCGGTTGACCATTCACAACTGAGCCGACTGGGCTCTGGTTTCAGACAGAGGGTGTAAAGAGGTGCTGCAGCACAGGCAGTATGAGCACAATTAAGAGCTTTTTGAACATTTAAAGCATGGAGACATGTCACAGGAGAGGCACAAATAAACCTGAAAATATGTCCTTTTTCAATGAAAGAAATGCAAATAAATAATCCTCACTTTTTTTCTCTCTTTACAAACAGTGCCCTCATCCTCTGAGCAGCTGCTCTTTTCGTCATTATCTTTCCCTCCTTCACTGCCTGAGACAAACGCTCAAGACATAGAATCTAATACACAAATATTTCTGGAGCAAGAAGAATCTGAGGCTATTTCTCTTCAGGACGCATTAAATATGGAGATACAGGATGTGATATGGCCATCTGAGGATGCCGTCGTCATTCTAGAGAGCAGCAATGGAGGAGAAACAACAGGAGAGAAATGCAGTGACAGCGTTCCTGATGCTCTCACTTTGGAGGAGTGTGATAATGAAGCTTCAGGCAGCTTCCATTCTCCCTCTACATCTGCCAATAGTCCCGCATCGTCCAGTTCAATGATTGCCCCTCCACGGCAGAGAGTTGCACACAAATGCAGTCATTGTGGAAAATGTTTCATTTACCGCTACAAACTCCAGGAGCATCAGAGGCTGCACACCGGAGAAAACCCTTACAAGTGCTCTCAGTGTGGGAAGTCCTTCAGAAGGAGCTGTGACATGTCGTCTCACAGGCGGACACAGTGCACACAAGCTGCTTATATTTGCCTTAAATGTGGGGATAGCTTTCAATCACTAAAGGACAAATTAAGACACCGGTGTGGTCGCATCGTCCAATGGTTTGACTGTTCTCAGTGCGGTAAAAGCTTTAAAAAAATGCACTTGCTGAATAAGCATGAGCGGACCCACACAAAGATCTGCAACTTCACGTGCAAACCATCTGGGCAGGAGTACCCCAGTATGAGTGAGATGAGGAGGAACCAGAAGAGTCATCCTCCCAAGATTTCCAAACAGTGCAAGCGATGTGGGGAAATGTTCAGCTCTGTCGCCCGTTTGACAAAGCATGAGCTGCGCCACAAGAAACAGGACCAAAAGATTTGTGAGGAATGTGGCAAAGCTTTCAAGAGCAAATATGAAGTGTCTCTTCACATGCGCTGTCACACAGGTGAGAGGCCATTTCAGTGCACGTACTGCGGCAAAGGTTTCTCCAGATCGGGTAACCTGAAGATACACTTAAGGATCCACACGGGAGAGAAACCATATCTTTGCTCTGACTGTGGCAAGGGTTGTATGTCAGCCGGCGATCTGCAGATACACAGACGCATCCACACAGGGGAAAGACCATACAAGTGCACTGACTGTGGGAAGGGATTCACCACCGCAAGCAACTTGACAGTTCATATGCGGGGTCACACTGGAGAGCGCCCTTACATCTGTTCCATATGTGGACAAGGGTGTATTACTGGCACAGTATTAAAAATACATACTTTAAAACATACTGGTTTTAAACCCTACCCTTGTCATATATGTGCAAAGGCTTACACAAACCTCACTCACCTGAAGAGACACTTGAAAAAAACTCACAATGTAGTGCAAAACCAGACTGTCTAATTGAATAGAGTACCATATGCCACTTTTAGCAAATTCATGTGTTTTCATGCAACTAGCCTGGACTAATTTTTGTGATACGTTTATCAACTTGGTTTTCACTCTCCATCTCCTGTAAGGACTATGTTTTCAAAAGATTTTGTCCTGGCTGTTTCATTTACCTGTGTTGTTGGATCTGTTCACATTGTACCGTGTACAATTACATTTGTGTTTTCAATTTTGTTCTGTGAATCTGTCAAACATGTTTTTAAATTTTCTCTAAGTAAAACTTGCTACTAAGTGTATGGAAGTTCCCTGTGTTTGTGTCTAGCTGCAACATTCGTACTTAAACCCAACATGAAACCACTTGAACAATATTAACATTAATAATTTTTAAAAAATGAGACAACCAAAAGATAATTCACCAAGAAATAAAGTTCCTGTAATCTTGACAAGCTGAAACACAGGCTCACTCTGAGCCTATGAGTAAAACACATTTATTAAAAACATTTTACATTAGAATTATGAGGGATGCAGGAAAACAGTTTTTCAAATTGAAACATTAGTTAAAAGATGTAGTTATTTGATTGTCCGTAGAGGCGGTGCGTCTCATTTTGCAATAGAGAGAATATGAATGTCCCTATCCGGGCTGCCCCGTGATGCAAAACGAGCCTCTCTGCTAAGAGCGCGCAGCTAACGCTCCCAGGATGAACAGCGTGTTTCAGGAAGAAGTTGGCGCCTGAAGCCGTGTATGCGGTTAGCTAGCACGCTAACCGAAAGTATGCATGATAGCACACTTAATCATTTTTCTTTCCAACGTTATAAGATCATTCCAAAATGAACGACGCAGGTATGTATTAGCTTGCTAGGCTCGGTAAAACTGTGTATATCACTTGTGCGGCTAGCCGAATAGCCATAGCGCAGGATTAGCCGAGGCATAGCAGGCCTTGTCTAATCCCTGGAACACGAATTGTTTTTCCCAATTATGAGCCGGTTTTACCACACATCAGCGGCCTTGTGGCTAGTCTGGTGATGCTAGCTTACGCTTGGGCACAACAAGCAAATATGTATTGTTAGGTATATTTACGGTCGAAAACGTAACCCAACTGTTAGGTACTTGTGACTGATAGTTAGCCGGCTAATTAGCGTAATTTGACATATTACTGAGGTGATGCTAACAGCTAGCTGTTTGCAAATTGTTTATGTTTAACTACTCTCTATACGTTATCTCGTTTGCCATTTCGCGCAGCAACGGGTGCATTGGAAACGCATTGCATGTGTTTATTTGAGAATTTAAGGAACATCCTAACCATCAAAGCTGTAACATGCATTGGGTGGTAGAAGTCAGATGTATGCACACAGCCGTGGTGCGTTAGATAATGCACCCTACAGGGCTGTATACCACACTAGCCAGTGCATCTCAGGGATCGGGAGCTGTACTGACCCTAAAGTAAGATGCTGCACTGATAAGGAAATACATTTTTTGTTTCAAATTAGCACTAGAGTGTATTCCCCTTCGACTTTAATATAAATACATATATAAAACCGGATATTAATTACTGTCAACATCTTCTACATAGTCGAAACACAATATATTTAACATTAAAAGTGACTTATTATGACGTAATTATCAGCAGTTTCAGAACAAAGTTCCCAAATAGTTTTAAGGTTTGTTTGACCCAAACTATTTTTCTAATTTAGAAGAGTTCAGTGTCCCCCTTTCTTCGCTGGCGCTCCTGGTCCCACCACTTCGCCTGATGTCAGCAGTGATGTGGGAAGTTGTTCGCCAACGAAACATAAAGCACTATGGGAAACTGGAGGAGTTTGTGACCATGGTAACAGATGCAGTTCCTGAGCTGATGAGTAAACGGGAAGGGAGACTGCTCTCACTTGGCCTGAGGGCAAGGGTAAGTGTTTTGAAATGTGTATAACATCATGTGTTTAATGAGAACTATTCAAATGAGATAGGGTTATCATGAAAACATTATATTCACAATTGAAATTTCCTCCAGACAACTCTTGAGCTGTTGCGTTCTGAACACCCTGAAGATCTCAAGGCTGTTGAGAGCCACTTGAACCGAATCCGAACTTCTTGCATTGAGGAGGTGAGTGTTTCGGTTGCAGCACTGAAAGGATAAGACAACTAAAGCAATAAATAACAGCATAAACCGATTCTGTAGCTGTTTTGATAATTAATTAATAGTTTGACTAAATATCTTATGCAAACATTTTGAAACAGTGCCTGGTTCAGACCGCTCATTTCATGCTTTTTATGTATTAATAGTTAGTAGTAAATCTGATATCATTTGGTTGTTTGAATCTTGGCTGGACGAACTGCACTCGTTTTTATTTGTAGACGGTTCCTTCATAATCTGACTGTGTGTTTTTTGTTTTCTGACCCAGACAAATGATCCTGTCATTGAAGCACCAGAGGCAAACTTTATGAAGCTGGTGCAAGGCCTCATTGAAGACACGGATGGCAGAGAACACTTCCTCAAGGTAAAATGATCCTGTCATTTACATAGTGCTCTTAACTCAAATGTTATAAACTAATTTCTTGATCACAATTTCACCAAACAAAATTTGACGGAGGAAATTTTGATCTTTCCTCTCCAATTCTAAAGGAGTTTTCATGTGCTGAGGGTGCCACTTTTTGTTTTCTATGTAACAGAATGTGTTTCCAGTGGAGTATGGCCCTGATTTCGACACAGCACTGGAGACTCTGGTTTGTGAGTTTTTCACCAGACTGGAGGAGCTGCTGCCAATCCCTGATTTCAAACAGGTACTAAGAGGATTAGATAAATAAAAAGTAACCTTGCACGGCAGCTGGATTCTTACAATATTGAATGATCACATGAACATCGATCTTGTCAGTAGGGCATGGATATAAATAAGCCCACATGTCTCAATTACCAAATCGATTCATTTAAAGGGTATTATACATCTAACCACATGTACGAATCCATCCTCACTTTCCTTTCTTCTTTCAAACCTGTCTCTACAACCTACAGAGCTCAGCCTGAAACGCTCAACCGACCAAAAAGAAGCACATTTGAGACATGTAGCCCTGGCCAGCTTTGCATTTCACATTACAAAAATTGCAGCAACCATTGTTTGCATCTAGTTTTAAACATGCAAGTGCTTTGGGCCCTGCATTCACTGAGAAGCTGCTGCAAAATTATCCTGCTCTCTTTCACTGCTGCGCATCTCACCCAGATGCGCTCTCAGGCAAAGAAATACGCTACCCTTAAAAGTAAAGTACAGACTTCAATGCTAAAACGTATACTTGTCAAGCTTCAAGTACTGCATATCTGTCCACACAACTATTGTCTGGACAAATTGAGGCCTAGCTATGGGCATGGTTTTTATAACACGGAGAGTGGTGCATGTGGTGCCTCAAGATGAATCAGGAGACCTGTCATCTTGTGTTTAAAAATGCTTCCTTTTTTGGGCCTCCCTTGTATAGACGGCATCCTGGATCAGCGGGGCCCCCTCTGTCCTAGAAGAGTACATGCAGTGTGTCTCAAATGGAGATGACATTAAATTTCTTCTCCAGAGCAAACAGTGCCACGGGAAACTGTCTAAGAGTACAATCGGTACGTGCACAATTTACATTTGCTAAGAACTAGTCGACATAAAGTTTTTGAATTGAAGATTTTTGTTAACAATTTGTTTCCCTCCCTGCAGCTCCGTTTACGCCAGATGATCTTCTCATTCCCTCTCTGTCTCTTCCTCCATCGCTTGAAGTGGCCATCTCTTCCCACCCGAGTGGTTGTGACGACGAAAATAATGACGTTCCTCAGATCGTCATGTTCGATGAAGAACTGTCCACAAACCCTTCCACCTCGACAGACTTTCCCGAATCCCCAAAAAGGACTGATATGTTACCGTCCCCTCGCAGGAGACAACCAGGGCTGCACAAATGTCCAGAGTGTAACAAATGTTTCAAGCACCACTCCGTTCTCACCGAGCACCAGAGGGTCCACAGTGGGCTGCAGCCCTACAACTGCTCGGAGTGCGGGAGGGCTTTCAGGACAGCCACTCTGCTAGCCGGTCACAGGCTACGGAAATGCAAAAACGCCGCTTATCTGTGCATCAAATGTGGGAACAGTTTTCCGACCTCACTGGACAAATTCCGACACCACTGCCCAAAACGTGGCCGTAGCTACGATTGTGGACACTGCGGAAAGAGTTTTCAAAAGTCCAGCAGCTTGAAGGAACACCTGCTGACTCACGTCCAAAGCCGCCTTTTCAAGTGCAGTCATTGCGGGGTAGGATTTTCAGGAATCGGTGACTTGAAGTATCACCAACAGGTAGATCATGACAAGCCTTATCAGTGTAAGCAATGTGGGAAGAGCTTCATCTCCTCCAAGTGTCTGACCAAACATCAGCAACGACACGAAGAGGGCGGAGAAATGGAGAGTGTCAAATTAATGAGCGGAGGCAAACACAGGAAGAGTGGCTCCGCCCATCGGACTTCCTCCTCATCTATGTCCTCCAGGAAATCCTCGAAAGCTGCATACCCGCGAGGACGAGTCACGCATAACTGTCCACTGTGTGGAAGGAGCTTTAAGTACCGTTTTGAATTCCTCGAGCACCAGAGGTTCCACACCGCGGTGAAGCCTTACAGATGCTCGCAGTGTGGAAAAGCCTTTCGCACGGAGGCTCACCTCTCCAGGCACAGGAAGAGGAAGTGTAAAAATGCGTCCCACATTTGCACCAAGTGTGGGTGTCAGTTCAGGTCTCTCCACGAGCGGGTCAGACATCAGTGCGTCCAGCTGCTGACCAAATACGAGTGCTCTCATTGTGGGAAGACCTTCAAGATGGCCCACCTGCTGAGGAACCATCAGATGAGCGAACACCAGCTTCCCTACAGCGCCAACCATCGCTTCAGGTGCAGATACTGCGACGAGACGTTCCCCGGCATCAGCGAGCTCAAATACCATCAGAGGGTTGACCACGAGAAACCCTATCAGTGTCAAGAATGCGGCAAGTGTTTCCTGTCTGAGAAATGCCTGGCCAACCACGAGCTCCGACACAACGATGACCGACCGGAGAGCTGCCTGGTGTGCGGCCGCGGCTTCAGGAACCGCTACGACTTGAAGCAGCACATGCGCACTCACACGGGGGAGCGGCCGTACCAGTGCACTCACTGTTCGCAGTGCTTCTCCACAGCGGGGGGGCTGCGGAGCCATACCAGGGTTCACACGGGAGAGAAGCCGCACGTTTGCCCAGATTGCGGTAAGGCTTTCTCCCAAATGGGTGCAATGCGCACGCACAGGCTCACGCACACGGGAGAAAGGCCTTTCAAGTGCACAGTGTGCGGCAAAGGTTTCACAATGGCACACAAAGTCACTGTTCACATGCGCGTGCACACAGGGGAGCGCCCGTACGTGTGCACGCAGTGCGGGAAAGCCTTCTCAGATGGAAGTGTGCTGAAGCAGCACATGCTCAACCACTCAGGGGTGAGACCGTACCACTGCCAGATCTGTCCCAAGACCTACACCTGTCTGAACCACCTAAGGAGGCACCTGAAGAGCCACTCCAACATGAACTGAGCAGAACATTTCACACATTCACATTCACACCATTTGGCAGTTACACTGCTACAGTTACAAAGGACCAACGAAACCAAGCAATACGTGAAGGAACATAAAATGATGCTGTTTAAATTGAGGTGAAATGTTTCCTCTTCACTGTATAGTAAATGTAGTCATACACAGACTTTTTGAGCATTTAAAGGAATAGTTTGACCTTTTTGGGAAATCCACTAACTAATAATTATTTAGATAATCACATGAGAAGATTGATACCACTATTAGACTGTAAGCAAAGATAGATGACATTAGGGCTACCCTCAAGTGAAGCCAAAGCATCTTTATCTCCCCCAAATCTACAGTACAGACTATAAACCCTCCATGTTACTGCACTATAAAGTCAAAACATACTTAAAATACAATTTTCCCAAAGATAGTTTCTGTCTTTTTAGGTAGTTCTTGTCACACGACGTGTATTCAGGTGTGGATTTTTCTGATTCATATTCAGTTGTTTGATGCTATTAAAAGGGAGTGACATCATGATAGACAACTGTGATTGACAGCTTGTCTGAGTGAAGTGATCACGGAGCAAGGCTACAGGCAAGGTAACAACGTGTACATTTCATAATTAAAGTGTGTATAGCGATAATAAGTTTAGTTATCATATCAGCCAAACAGGTGCTAACATATCAGCTAAGTGCTAACAAACTGTGACCCTGCTCAACACTGCGCAGAATCCATCTCCCAATTATATTTTTGGTTAAGAGATGCGTTGTCTATATATACATAAACTCTGATGCCACTTTTCAGATAAAGCGGTATCAATCTCCTCTAACGTGGTAAGAATTCAACTATTTCCTTTACGTTAGCACATACTCTTTCTTTCCCCTCAATGCGCACCATACTGAATTATTTTTGACCAACAGTTTCTTATGCATGAATATGTTTGGATACTATTCCGGATATTATTTCGGTGAATGTGCAGAAACTGTAATATTGGTGAAAATATATTTTTGCAAAGGCTTCTAAAGCCATGGAATAAAATCGTATGTTAAACGTTGGATGTAAATATACTGAGAGAAATGTGTGCGTGCCTGAGAGGTTCAATGGTTTATTTCAACATGAAATAACTTTATTCCTGCCGGCCTTTTATCTCACCCAATTATGGTTTGCAAGGTTCATGAATTTCACATTAAATTCCCTTGGTAGTACCTTGTGTTTGTTGATACCATTTTGTTAAACAAAGGAAAACTGTTAAGAGTTGGGAGGAAAAAGGGTGGAAGTTGCAAAGGGAAATTTGAAATTGCATTTGCTTTCTGAATAAATGTTTCACTAGATGGCAGCAGATGACCAGTATCATCTCCCCCTTACACTTCATGCACTGTAAGACACTTATAGGCATAGGGATGAAATTAAGAATGGCATTAATCAAGAATCATCTGCTTCTCTGCCGGCTGTAGACGATTAAAAATATGTCTGAGAGACGAGAGATTGATAAGGGACTACAGCAGGGGAAGTTGGCCCGGCCCATTTCCTGTCATTAGCCTAATTTGGAGGGGTTTGGTATTCTGATTAGCCAGCAATTTCCTTATGTTTTGACTGGCGCCGAGCGGTATCTGAAGTGGTTTAAACCAAAACCAAAACAAGTCCTCGCTTTTTGTTGTGTTTTCACAGTGCCATTCAGCCCTAACAGTGAAGTTTAAACTGGACCACCACTGTTTCCAGTTACCTTGTCGGCATATGTAGACTTACGTCATAGCGTTACAGGCACAGTGTGATTAATCTATTCCATCTGTGCTGTACTGACTTTCATGTTTTTCCCTGGAAGAAAGAGGCTTTTTTCCCCCCTCATTTCCCCCTTGTGTTTCATCTCATCCATGTTCTTTCATTTGCATATGAATCATATTCTCTTAAACAAACCAAAAGATGTGCCATTCACAGGGAGATGAATGATGTGGAGGCTCGTTAAATGTTGCAAGATGTTAAACACCACACTATTCCGTCTCTCTGACTCAGAACTGCTACTAATCTCCTCCACTGAACATCAGGATCCTGTGGAAACTCACTCTGCATCCTGTGCCTGGGACATTATGCAGAGCATGCTCTCAGATTTAGGAAGCATAGGAGTTCTCCTTTTCTTCATGTTAGGAGCTTTATCTTGACCTTTTGAGGACAACCCCCAATTGTTTTTTCCTCTGGGGAAAAGATAATGACTCCATAATGAGGTAATTCACTGAACTCAAAGCCGTTAAGGACCGTTAAAAGATGCCTTCCTTTGAAAAACATCACCATGCGACTGTAAAACACTCATAAATGCTTGGCTAATGAATTCCTCAATATTTTTGTATTGCTTAATGTATTCCTGATCCTGTTATTGAGACATTTCAAAAATAAATGCATCACAATTTACTCCCCCCACAACAGCTGCCAGGAATTCAACAGATTTACTATGAGAGCCTGCTAATAAATGCAGATCATTCCCAGATGTCCTCTCTCCTCATCATCCCTCCTTTCCTTTCCTCCTTCTCCTCACAACTTTTCCTCCATGAAAAGGTGATCTCAGTGGAAAATCTGAGTCCAGGCCTTCCTCACAGTTTGAGCTCAACACACAAACGTATGTCCACAGCAACCACCCAGCATCCACCCACATCAACACCTTGCCAAATGCCCACGCCTCCACACACATCTGCCTGCTTCCATGGAAGTGCCCCCCGCCCCGCCCCCCCCCCAAAAAAAAACTCTTTCCAAAGTCCTGTCCAACATTTGTTCTCAAGAAGCACTAGATGGCACTGTGTCTCTTCCTGCTTCTGGGGGGAAATGACTAAATACCCCAACCCTCCTCCTCCTCATCGTGCTTTTATGTTCAGGTCAGGTCTGGATGTTGAAATGAACCAGATGTATTCAAACCCCACCCATCTCCCAAAGAAATGAGAGACTTTTCTAAAGAAAGGGAATACAAATGCTTCCAATATGGGTCAGCTGCTTTTCATTAAGTTTGATGAAGTGACTCAAGTGTGCATTCTATTCTTGTTCTTAATTTTGTTCATGGCATATTACGCTCACGACACAAAAGCACCACAAACGTCTGATTTGTAATTTTAAATGTCCTGAAATTATTACAACACAATCAAGATCAGTTTTACACGCACTCTCCTCCCTGCAAAGAAGAATCTGTGCACATCAGAGCATCCTCTCCAAGTCAGCAGTTCTGTTGTTTATTCCTGAGTATCCACGTCCCTTTCGCCCTTTTAAGGAAGCATGCATATCTGGGATTTTGTGTGAACTTTTTAATCCGTGCGCGTTCTGGTCCAATCCTTACGGCCCGTCCTCAGTGAGAGCGCGTGAACTCTATCCTCCTCCCTCTCCTCCCCCCTCCTCCCTCTCCGTGCGCTCTGGTCCTCCTCTGCGCGCTCTGTGGATCGCCTCGGACAAACTGCGGCGGAGCGCTGGATCATCGAAAAGTGTGCAGAATCGGTGTATAGGTATTGGGTTTTGGGTCGGAGTGTTTCGAAATTATTTTTTTGTGGGTATTGTGTTGTTTTGTGACTTATTAGTAGTTTTTTTTCGCCGTTTAACCATGGAGACGTTGAGAGGTCTCCTTGCGCTGCTCTGCGTTTTCCTGGCCGGAGCGCAGACAACGACCCAAATAAACAAGTTTGCCGGTAAGTTGGCTGAAATATGTTCCAAGAAAAATGCTACAGTTACTTATGATCATGGCTTTTCCTTGCATGTTAACATTTCGTTGTGTTTGAATGCAACATGTCATACAGAGTGAAGTGACGTTTGCTCCCAGAGATACTCCAGATGTTCCTTGTCTTTTGCTCCCCTAAGTGTGAATCCTTAAAAGGGCGTACAGATGCAATATAAACTGTAAATAAGATCAGAATATGACAGTAGCCTATAGCCCACTTTAAGCAAGCCCTTGTTTGATCCCATGGTTGTCCTAATAGGCTAAGAGCTGGGTGGGATGCAGACTAAGAAGTACCAGTGCTGTGAATGCAAAGTGATACATTTGGACAAATTGCAGGTGATGGTACCTCAGGCCTGCTGCCTTGCCAAGTTACAGTGCATAAGGGCCAGTAGGCTACAGGTGTAGCTACATGCAGACAGCTATGAGTGTATAGGTATTTAGTACAGGCCTGCCCCTGTCTACCTGTAGGCCTATAGATAAATGTATCAAGTAAATTGCCAGCGTTCTCCAAAAAGCATTGTGTTAAAATGAGGTTGGCCTCCAGTGCAGCAGTAAAGCCTACAATCTATGAGTGACACCTGCGCTAGCATCACTTCAATTGATAGATGGATAATAAGTTGATAATGTTTGCTGCTTCATAAAAACTTTGTTGGTTTTATGCTTGTTCAATGCATGCATCGTGTTTGCTGACAGCGATCTTTGTTTGTTTATCTGTTTTTTTATTTGTGTGTTCAGATTGTCCGGTTGACCTTTTCTTCGTGCTGGATACATCCGAGAGTGTCGCCCTCAGACAGAAACCTCCCAACTTTTATATTGACCAGATCAAAAAATTCACCACTAACTTTATAGATGAACTCAAGGACATGTAAGAAACACACACACACGTACACGCACACGCACGCACGCACACACACACACACACACACACACACACACACACACACACACACACACACACACACACACACACACACAACAACTACTATACTACTACTACTCTACACACACACACACACACACACACACACACACACACACACACACAAACAAACATAATAAAAAAATATAATTTAGTCGCCTTGAGTTTGGCTGATACTGTTAGCATAACAAACACTACATTTCACGTTAAAGCTAACGCTAGCTTGGTTAGCAAAGTGCATGCACCATCCTTTAAGTTTTGCCTTTTTCGCTGTTCACAATGTTGTACGACTCCTCCCTTTTATTCTAATGGGAAACCTTTGTTCTGTTATATAAAAAATCAGTGTCCTGGTTGAACAATTTTTACCAGTTTTCAAGTATTTAGCCAAGTTTCACTTAAACAAAAGACTTAACAGTTCTTGCTATCCAGTTCAAAACTGGTCAACAAATGCTTGCCCATTGCAAGCAGGAGCCTGATGTAAGATTAACCGCCTAGGTAGCCATATTGTTTGTCCAATATATACAATTCTCCAGACACAACAAACCCGGCAGAGATATAAAGTTCAGTAACTCAATAAACTTAGGTGATGCAAAGCAGACAGCTAGCTGCTATGACAGCTCACTCCTGTCACTCCCTAAAGAAGGCATACCTTTGATCTTAATATCATTTTATCAGGTCAGTTGCCAAATTTAAAATCCTGAAATTGTCATAAACAGATACAATATGGAGCCATAGGGACCAAAAGTGTTAAAATTGGCCATTTTAACATGGGGGTTATTGGAAATTGACTCGCTTTTGGAGCCAGCCTCGAGTGGCCATTAGAGGAACTGCATTTATTGGCACTTCCTCGTTGACTTCCTTCTCCAGCCCTGGAGGTTGCTTCATATTGTGTGAATTATTGTCCACAAAGTATCTTTAAACAGAATTGCAACGGTCAGTGTCCAAATATTATGATGCTTTAATATTTTATTATTACAACTACTTCATCATAATTCATCATCTCTTACTCAACCATAGGAGGTTTTGTGTCAAGTCAGAATCTGCAAAGAAAATAATAACTGATGCTGTATGATAACTCAAGAATGAAGTGTATCATGTAGCAAATTCCACCACTGCCTCTCCGTAACATACTGCATTAAGTGAAGCTGATAGCTGTACTGTAGGATAACTGTTACTAAGCCAACTATCTATTGCTTCAGGCGCCACCGATGTGACCGCATCCTGACGTGGAACTCAGGAGCGCTGCATTACAGTGATGACGTCAAACTGGTGCGAGCGCTGAGTGATTTGAGGACTCAGCGCGAGGAACTGAAGGCCGACGTCAGGGGCATCGACTACATCGGCAAGGGCACTTACACTGACTGTGCCATCAAGCAGGGTCTGGCTGAGCTGCTCATTGGGTAATATTAACTCACAGTAACATGAATACTCTAGCAGATTATGTTTAAGAGAAGTGTTAACATTTCTGAGTGTGTGTTTGTTTGGCAGGGGCTCCCACTACCATGAGAACAAGTACATCGTGGTAGTGACCGATGGCCATCCCATTACTGGTTACAAAGAGCCATGTGGAGGCGTACAGGAGGCCGCTAATGAAGCCAGGCAGCATGGAGTCAAAGTGTTCGCTGTTGCCATCTCACCTGACCAGGAGGTACCGAAAACACACAAACACACACATATTCAAACTAGTATGCTGTTGAAGTCCCTCATTAGAATATATTACATTTATAAAATACACCCCAACTTAATTCAAAACCCCAATCCTTACCCATAAACTTATGAGAATAAAGGTAAAGAAATCTATTTTCTTAATCAGTTTCAATGCCTTTGATTATTTCATTGATTTAATTCCATTGTAGTGTTTGTTCTGTGGCTCAGTTGGGAACAATTTATTTCAAGATTGTGGCTGCACTAATCAGGATTTGATCCGAACTTGATGAAAAATGTTGGGTTGTGCGGTAACGGTCAATCATTTAAACTACACCGTCTCTACTTAGTGTAGCTGTTTTAAGTCATGATCAGTAAAAAGAGAAATATATTCAAAATGTTAAACAACCCTTTCAGTGTCTTTCAATTTCTTATTATATCCTAAATACTAAATAATAAATATACATATGAATTGTATTTTGAATCGGTCTCTATGTAATCTGTGTGAGTCCTACTGTAGCTTGGGCGAAAATATGATTAAGATTTCCGAAACTCAAAAAGGGAATTTCACAATAAAACTGCTTATAGAATGCCAATAAATAAATTACACTGCTAATGCCATATACAGCATTAGTTACAGCCAAAAGGTGTAATGCGTTTTTGCAAACAATATCATTAATCTTAAACTAATTCTAACATTAACCTTCAAATCAAGTTATAACACTCAAACAGACTGGCTGTGTTGTCATTGAATTAAGGTGAACTAAAGTAAAGTGAGTTAAATGTAAGCGTACTGACTCTCAAAATCTAAAACTCAAATTTGACTCATGACATGATCTACATTTCAATGTGATGAGGCTGAATATAATACATAATCACTAGATGATGGATTCAACAAGTGTTTTTGATCTTTGTTTGATTTTTGATCTACATGGAAATCCAACTGTAGATGATGCCTGTTATATTGGCAGCAGGACTAGCGACCATATTGCCAGAAGCTAATGTTGAGCTAGCTGCCATGTGATGATGATGTGTGTATCTGTGTCTCCCCAGGACACCAGGCTGTCAGTCATCGCCACAGATTCAAACTACAGACAGAACTTCACTGCTGCTGACGACTCCAGGAGCACCAAGATGGAAACCATTCGCACCATCATCGATATGATCGTATGTGTCCCCTCCTCTCTTCTCATTCCCTCCTCTCCTTTCCTTCTCTTCTCTCCTTTCCTTCTCTTCTCTTCTCTCCTCTCCTCTTCTCTTCTCTTCTCTTCTCTTCTCTCCTCTCCTCTCTTCTCATTCCCTCCTCTCCTCTCCTTTCCTTCTCTTCTCTTCTCTTCTCTTCTCTTCTCTCCTCTCCTCTCCTCTTCTCTTCTCTTCTCTCCCCATCTCTCTCCTCTCCCCTCCTCTCTCCTCTCTTCTCCTCTGTATATATGCAATTCAACGTTTATTAATTGCGCTAATTTTCTGTTTTCTTTCCCTGTTTTCAGACAAACGAGACAAAGGATACGGTAAGATATTTGTGAAAGGAAGTTACATTTTGTTTATGTGTTTGCTAACTGCCTTTATATATTAAAGAAGGCGGTACATAGTAATTGTGCATTGGTTAGTTTACTAAAACGTATGTGTATGCACAGTAAGTACTGTAGATTCAAACGATCAGAACATTTTCACTTTAAAGCTTTTTTGGCAGTGTGTCTATTAGTTTTCAGACTGAATGCACTCAGCTAACAGTAGGACCTTTTAGACTGGGTGCTTGGGCCTTACTCCATTTTTGAGTATATACAAAAGCATTCCTATTTGTCTTTATAATATCGACACTCCCTTCATCGCTGAATATTCTGGCAGCTGAAACATCCCGACAGCAGAGTAGTTTATGATAAGTTTTGCTGATGCAGCTCGAATAGACAACATTCTTGTCTACTGCATTTTTCCACTAAACAAACTTTATTTATTTTTGGATACAACAATTATTTATGTTATAAATGCGATACATCTTACCTAAAAGTAGTGAGGATGTTTACAGGGTCTATATTTGTGTTGTATTTTGACTTGTTTTAAGGCTATTACCTTCCTTTAGCTCATTCTCAGTTGTTTATTCTCATTACTGCTAGTCTAAACTGTAAAGTAAACTCAGGAAACAAGGAGGGGTCATTCAGTGCAGCCACAGGAAGCTGAAATGAGCACGAAAAGCAAACTGAGATTGAAGTGATATTCACTATCTTTGTACAGTATATCCAGCAAAACCATTGCAGTTATATGTTAAATATGAGTTATATTACCCAGCCTGACAGTCACCTGATAGTTAAACTAAGTATCACTTATGATCTGACCAGAAAACAAACTACCCCTTGAATTTATCAAAAATAATCTTCAAAATGCATAGATACTGAGAGCTTTTTCTGATGTAAGTTAATATATTTTCTTTTTTTCCGCAGTGTTGCTCTTTCGACTGCAATGTAAGTATGGTATTAATTATGCCATCGTCAACATTAATTCCTCTTCTCCTTCGAGCAGCTGTTTTACTTTTTGTATTTTATTGTTTTGTCTGCAGGCTCCAGGAGGGCCCAAAGGATCTAACGGAGGCAGTGGCGCTAAGGTGTGATGAAATAATATACAAACAACCAATTGTACCTTTCTAAGCACTCGAGATGGCCGTCCAGAAAATGCAAAGAATATAACATTATCTGTTCTTTTTTTGCCTCTCTACAGGGAGAATCAGGCAGACCAGGGATGCCAGGAGAGAAGGGAGATATTGGCGCCACGGTAGGTGACATCCTCCTCCTCCACCAACCACAGCACCAACACACAAACATGCATGCAAGAGGACACAACAAGCAACAGAGTTTTTTTGATTATGCATGCAGGCTTAATGGAAGGGTCATCCATGTCGTCTAATATTTCTCTCTGTGTGTTTACAGGGCAACGTTGGAGATGCTGGTCCCATTGGTTACAGTGGAATGAAGGTAGGGTTCACTTAAGTCTGAATCAAACATCTTCTATATAAAGGAGCATAGACAGATATTGGATCAGAAAGCTATGAGTCATGGATGCTAACATACAAGCAAATTGACACTGAGTTTGCCCATTCTCTTTTGCATATTTATTGGATTCATATTAGAAACATTTCACATTTTCAATACACTATTATGATGACCAAAAATAATCCAGATAACTACATTTTAGCGATGTCTTGAAAGTAAAAACCTCAAAGCTATCAATCAAATGTAAACTTTTATTTGCTTATTGTGCATTTTGTCTCTTTTTTGCCAAATAATATAATTTCGGTAATGGGTAGTGAGATGAGCGAAAATAATTAGAAATGATTAAAGAGGCGCTGCATTATTTATATGTTATCATCACAAATGGATTTTAAACATTATATCAATATTTCTTTTTTTTACATATCACAGTATTGGTAAATACCAATTAATCGCCACACTCTCAATTAATAATATGAAGCTAAAATAATCATTTAAAATAGATGAAACCATTCTGTTATAGGAGCAGGGTCTTTAAGGTATCTGTAATGCATATACATAGTCATCAAATGCCAGTGTTTTATATATTGTTCATATTTATTGTAGTCCAAAACTAAAGGTCAGTTTCTCTAGGCAGTGCATTTCATAAACACATGAGGTCCAGTCATTTGTTGTCCAAGGGTTTGTCTGAAGCCATATCCACCTTTTTAGATTCACAAACATGGTTATGACCCAGAAACAAACTGACAACAGGAAGTTTGTTGGAGGAAACATTTACAAACCTAAACAAATGTTATATTCCCATGTTAATTGGCTGTGACCTCTCTGATCACTTCATGACATTTCTAACATGTGTATTTCTGTTTGCAGGGAGACCGTGGTGGCCGAGGAGAAAAGGTACTAACATTTAAAAACATCTGATTGAACAGGATACCATTTATGTTTGAGAATTTCTGTACTGTGTAATTCACGGACATGGCTAACTAACGCTGTGTGTTTTTCTTGCAGGGCGGAAGAGGACACAAAGGCTTCAAGGTGAGCTCCTCTTCACAGCTCCAGAGGGCTGCTCCCTATCTGTGATCTCTTGTTCAATTATTATTTTATTCTACTTCATCATCTTGTCGTATTTTCTCAGGGAGACAAAGGTCTAATAGGGAATGACGGAATCGATGGACGCAAGGTGAGTAACAGACCCCGAAACATCCCAACAATACAGCCTCTCTGTGTGGCTGATGTTTTGCTGATTCAATAAAGTTGTTTGAAGTTTTGTTTCTCTGGTGTTCTTCATTAGGGTGAGGGTGGTTTCGCTGGTCTTCCCGGCTGTAAAGGATCTCCCGGATCAGATGTGAGTCGTTTATCTTAATCTCAGAGTAATCCCACTATTATGGTCTTCAGGTTGGCCTCAACTCAACTTACTTATGGCACACATTGCACAGTTTGAATCCAAGACAAATGGAAATCCTTAGATGACATCAGGTTTGACACCAAACCCTCACATGTGTAGGTGTCAGGTCACACACTGTCTTAGCTCTCTTTTAAACAGACGTACACACTCAAACAGGCCATTTCCGTATCCGCCCGAGGCTCAGCTAAATTGTTTACAGATCATCCATTAGCCACAGTTACATGTTTAGGAATGCCAACCTGGGTGCGGCCCTGAACAAAATCCCAACCTGCGTCTGGATTCCCCCCCGGGACCGTCTAACTGAGGCTTGCGGCTCTTAATCACTGCTGCGTTTACATTCTCTGCTATCATATTGTTTAAATGAAGCCATATAGACATACTGTAAACACACACACACACACACTCGCAGGGCCCCTGAGATTGAGTGTTGTGGATTCAGCTGCTTGTGATGTACTGAGATCATGTCTGCGTTCCTGCTTCCAGGGCATGCAAGGAGAGTCGGGACCAAAGGGAGACTCCGGTCCTTATGGGCTGAAAGGAGGAAAAGTAAGATGTGAAAAAAAATATCTGTGCTCTTTTTTAGGGCTGTGTATCTGTAGGAACTTAAAATATGATACGTATGAAGACACAGGGGTCATAATTCAGTATACTTCATTACTGTAAAGAAGGCAATATAAAGCAATGTTTTCAAATCTATTTTTAGGGAAAAGTGTCATAGCATAAACTACCATATGCGTGTAATCTGAGTAAAATGTTTTTATTTTTTCATGCAATAAAAACAGTGCAGTCCCTGTATAAACCAATAGCATAGCACTATCTGTTTAGCGATATAAGTGTAAGTAGTCAAATTTGACTTAATAATTTTTTTAATCAAAGTGCTCACATTTTTTAACTATTTATTAAAAAATTAAATTCTTGGGCTGCCCAAAAAGTTCTTTTAAAAAAAATGTGTTTGTGTGTTTTCAAATCGATCGACAGTATCCCAGAAAATACACAAATAGCAATACTCAAGTGGAGCAATATTTTCTTACGCTACGTACCAAGATGTCAAATTGGTTTTCAGTGCATTATAATAAGACACATTTGGTTTTAGGGAGATGCTGGAGGAGATGGCGAATCAGGAAGGCCTGGAAACTACGGCCCTCTGGGACCTCAGGTAAATCAGTACAACATAAAATATGGATCTGTATGATCTCCGGGTCTTCTTCGAGGAAATGTGACCCTTTTATCTGTGTTGTGACAGGGTGATCGCGGCCCTGGCGGAAACAACGGGGACAATGGAGAGCGCGGCGATGATGTAAGCGATGTAACACCTGACAACGGCAGGAACATCAACTCTATGATCTGTATTGGCTCGTCATAATTTCCTTCTTTGTGTTTTTCTTCGACAGGGCTCACCGGGACAGGATGGCAATCGCGGCGAGAGAGTAAATCCGATTATGAAATGATTATCAATCTGAAAATGAAATGACTATTATTGACGAGTGTGTGACAGCTACCAAAATATCTGTTGACATCTTTAAAATGCCTTATAGGGACAACTTGGAGAGAAAGGCGAGCAAGGTTCCCGTGGAAACAGAGGGCCGAGAGGAGACCTGGTAAGTGATGATAAGGTCGATGAGAAGGGAGGAAGCGCAGTCCCTCAGGGTCCGTGAGTTTTCAGCAAGTCCTCCTTAAAAAAATCCATGGGAAATGCTTTTTGGCATTTGTATCGAGTCAATTTCAACAGCCTTAATGGAAGACTGTTTCCATAAAGTAATTCCCAGTGTGCTCCTACTGCTCTAACTTTGTTTGAAAGTTGGCTCTGTGTGCTTCACTTGTCCATTGTTACTGTCCTCAACGCCTTTAGATGTTTATACATTTGTTCTTTTCCTTGCCAGGGGGAGCCTGGACCCCGTGGAGAGCAGGGGAGGGAGGGCTCAGCTGGCCCCAACGGAGACCCTGTAAGACACACTCAAATACACATTTACATAGATACAAACACACGGGAGCTATATAAACCACTGTTAGTTAGCATATTGTGTAGAGTTACAGTAGGGGGACCACCCTCTTTTCTATCTGGCACCATCCTTATTTTCCAGTAGGAGAGGAGAACTTGCTTCCTTCTGCTTCCATCCATATTTCATGCTGAGGGGGAGTAGCTTTATTGGGCAGAAGTTTAAACAGAGGCTGCTGCCCCAGAGCGCTGCCCACTCCTCCTCATTCTCAGCTCTTACTCCACCAGGGAACATCCACACTCACTCTTTCCCCTCTGACTCAGTTCTTCTCTCCGTCCGCCCCAGCCAAAGCCTCAGTATGGTTTTCCTAATAGGGCACCAGGCAGTGTAATAATAATGATAGGTTACAAGCATTAGTTGTGGTCCCCTCTGTGATGTCAAGACTTTGAATGGCTCTTTTGTGCTTTCTGCTTTGATTGAGTAAACCGAGTAATACAGAAAACATGGAATAACAAACATGTTAGACCTACCTCATTGACTGAAGAAAAACTGAGTCCTCATGCTCGGTAATGTCATGGAAGCCATTTGCACTCAAAAAGCAAGGTATAGCCCACTGTATTACAAGTATTTATAACCTCCTTTTAACATATTAGCAATGTTGTTGTAGTATTAGTGTATTTTGCCATTTCTGCAAATATATCTATTATTCTGTCCAATCTTGAGACAGATGTAAGTAAGTAGAGCAGTATTAATTGAATGTATCCAGTCGATAGATAGAACCGGTCTTGATTTAGCCAAGCAGACACTGCAATGAGTAAGCCTTGAGAAAAAAAGGTTTTGGCTTCGAGGAACTCTAAGACGAAGGGATTTCTTCCATTTCAGTAGTGTAACTTCAGGACAAGAATGAGGTGATGCATGCAGCAGCCGTACACAGCTGTTGTTTGTGAGGAAAGAGCACACATTCAAAAGCGCACTCCTTCTATCAACTACAGTCACATGGCTGTTGGAGCTCACCATTGGTGTGATCCAAAGTAATGCACTAGTGTCCTAAAGCTGCGCAATCTCCAATGGGGGGCAAAACATGTTAACAGTTTGCCTGTGCCAAACACTCATTGGAGAGATGGGTGAGGAATTCTTCCAATAAGCTTTTTCATTCTTTATTTTTTCAAACATGGTTGTCCAAAAGTACAGCGTTGGATACCTTAAATATTGTCCAAAAGTGTGTCATTAACCTACTTCTTCCCCATGTAGTAGGTTGCCAGTTTTTTTTCATTGTGCTTTATGTGGTTGTTTTTGTAGGAAAAGTGTTTTAACTGCGTCTCATTAACGGTGTTGTTGTTTTCCAGGGCAAGTCTGGCAAGGGCGGGTCTCCTGGCTATAGAGGAGATGAAGGCACACCTGGACCAGAAGTAAGCCCAACAAGACACAAACACGCACACATGTTCCCGAAGAGCATACATTTACTAAAAGATCCTGAAAACACACATTTGCTCAATACATCAGCTTCTAACTATGAGTGATTTGATCCTAGATGAACACTTTTCTGATCATTTCACATGAGAGAAGATAGTTTTGGTGTTTTTATTGGACCTCGTGTTTTAAGTGGGCGCGGCTCAACTGGAAAAAGGTTGATGTCACATAGTTCCATGAACCAATCAGGTTTAAGCAATGTTTGAATCTGAATCTGAAGACAGTTGTTTGGTCACAGTTAATTCAATGTAATCAAACCACGCCCACTCTCACGAAGATTAGCTGAAAAGAGTATCAACACTTAACTTTCAGTAATTTGTTTTACATTTGGAAGCTTTTTAGTGTTAAACCCAATAAGAACTAACAGCTCAAATTTTTGTTTTTTTTACCATTATTTAAAGGTAGGGTAGATAATTCACTTCAGAAACACTTTTTGTTATATTCCATGGAATGCTCTTAACATCCCGATCAAAATGAATAAATTAAATGCTTTGACAATAAATATATACAAATATTTCATCTGTGGAAGCCGTGGCGCTGTAAAAAGCACAACCAATCATCTAAGCCGGCCCGGCTAAAGTAACTGGATGGCCTACCTGCCTGTCAGCCTTCCATCTGTGCACAAACTTATATCGTGCCTTCATTGGTCATGTGCACGTTCGTGTGTGTTGAAGGAGGGGCTCTGTAAGGAAGTCTGAAGGAAGAGGCAGATTTTTTTCGGCTGCGTACTTTCAAATTCTAGCGCACTCGAGCTGGTTTCTCCATTCTTACCTACCCTACCTTTAACTATTACTAAATTTCGTTGTTTTCGAGGCTTAGATATGTTAATTTTATTCTTTTTTTATTTTTTGTATTACACGAACTATAACCTCAATTCTTTTTACAACGATTGCACACTCTTACCTAGTACGTCTCGCTTCGTAAAGAGGCGCTAGAGTTAGCAAGATGATGTGTGCAAAGTCCCCTCAGCCATATCTATCAGCAACTACCTCGTAAGGTAGACCTTTCAACTTTGAAGCGTTGCGATATTAGCCGGGGGGGGGGAACGGCAACCCTTTCACTCCTTAGTCCACTGGGACTGTAACTTGCAGTTTGTATCACGGCCAACACCTCCACTTCTTACACGAACCAATTATGGTGTACCTAAATAACTACTACCTCTCGAGAACAACCTTACGTTCATCTACGTCATTTTCGTTAGAACCTGGAAAGCCTCAATTTGATCACCGAATGTCACCTCGAAATTTCTACAACCTGGGTGAGCAACAAGTTCGCGAAATTTTGGGTCGAAGGTTTCAAGGAGATGCACGGATCAGCAAATATAAAAGAAATGATGTCCCAATCTTATGGATTT